GACCTGTATAAGCAAAACTGTTTGGCTTTTTTTCTTTTGGGGTTCAGCAAAAGAACAAAATGCATACAGATTTGGAATGACATTAGGTATTTTATGAGTTTATATGAATTTGATTCATACGTAGGCTTTTTTTTGGGGGGGGGGGGGGGGGGGTAGGGTTGCACCCCTAACTCAACTCTAAACTTAACTCCACTCAGTGGAGAGTAAGCAGACTGCACAAAATCAATGAGAGATGTAAAATAGTTATGATTTTTTTTTTTTTTTTTGGTGTTACAATGTTATGACAACAAAGCTGTAAAATTACACGAAACTTACAAAGAAAATGTTTCATTTGGGCTTCATGTGCTTCATTTTAACACATATTAATGTTTTAACACATTATGTTCATCTTCTGGCTATACTTTTAAAACCGTGAGAATTTTAACAGTGAGCATTACTTTTTAAGGTAAAGTAAAAACATACTTATGGTAATCAACATTATGCCACAATTCCTGTCAGTTGAGCTTGTATCAAACTATAGACTAAACTATAGACTATTGCCAGTTTGTAATAATATTCAGCTTTTTTATCTGATCAAGTGAATTCAAAACCTGTTTGAGAAACAACCTTCCTCTTTGCTCAACTGATCGTATCGAATAGATTGTGTGTGTTTGGGGGGGGTGGTTCTCCATCTGTCAAACACTCATTAACAGAGCCCCACCATGTTTTAATCAGTCCCTATACACAAACCACGGCCATTCACACACACACTGGCCACACTGGCTTCAACAACGACATATATCATTAATCTCACAGGTCATTAATCTCTGAGCACAAAGGCGAAACATGCTGCAATTTTGGGGTGTGAAACCTCTTTTTGATGCAGACCAATTCGACAAATCACAAAATACAGCATGTTGATCTGTTTTCAATTTGTGTGCTGTACTGTATAAAAACAATGATTGCAAAATTCTTGAATTTTATACTTAGTAATTTGGTTCACAGCCATAAAAAATATTAATCACTATATTTTATTGCTTTTACTGGTTAACTCTCAGATGACGCCCTTAATGAGGGACCTCATTGTTGTTGCACACTAACAAATTTGTGTACATGATAGTAGCTAATTATCACATTCAGCCACTCAAGAATGTGTAAGACAAGAAAAGCCACTTCAAAGGAGTTATAGATGATGCATTTGACTTTCTCGAAAACCGTGTTAAACTTTATCGGAAGTTAATCCACAGTATCACATTGGAACGTCATATTATCAAATTTGCTTTGTGACCGAGCGATCGAGAAAGACTTAAGCAAGAGAGCTGGAGCTGACCTCCAGAAAAGACTGCCAGCATTACCTCACAAGAGGCGTCTTGCTAGCCTACTCTTTCGCCACAGGATGTGCGTCATAAATCTTACTCAAGCTCAATGACAGAGGAGCTCATGGGACGTGACCCGTGACATACTGGTCAACACATTGGTGCTAAACTTAAGCCAACATGCAGGACCACAAAAGAGGAGTAACTATAAAATATTGTAAAACCGGCGAATGAATAGGTATTTTAAAATAGAGGTTAAAGGTTTGTAAAGAGTGCATGTCCAAATCTGATGACTCGGATGTGTTTCTCAAGTCTTGATTTTGATTTTGGTTTCTTGATTGGCTTTAATTTATTGGTTTAAAACTGAACTTGAATTGAAATGGATTGATTGATTGATTCTAACATAACCAATAGAGATACAGATTTTTTTCCCCAAACTATGGAAAACATTAGAATAAATGTGAAATAAATGTGAAGTGAAAGTTCTCAGCATGATCATGGGACACTTTCTCCAGTTGTGTTAAAAAATGCATATAAATAGAAAAGAGGAAAGAACAGCGATCAAAAAATATATTACACAATGGTTAAATGAATCAACATAGGCAAATGCAGGAACACACTTGGCAATGAAAGCTCCCGTTTCTTAAAGCACCGAAATAGAAACAGCTGAAGTAGGGCTACCCTGAGTGAACTTTAAAGAGGAAGCAACAGGGCAAAATCAATTGTGCCTCAAGAACACACACGTCTTGCCAGCTGAGGAGAACTAATGTTCTGATGCGTTCTGCTTCAGCTCTGCTAGAGTCATTTGAATGAATATTTGATTGAATAACAATCACAAGCACTGCAGGGAGGATTCAAGTACGCTGCCAAGGCCAGGTGCATCTGAGGAAAGGTAGTGTAGGCTAGAGGAAGTTTTATTGTGCATACAGTTACCACAAAAAAACACCTCAGGACACTTCAGCCACAAATCTTTGCATTATATAACATTGTTTAACTGTAATTTATTTGAAATAAATATAGCACACTTTTTAAGCTAAACATTTCAACTAATTATGTTTGAAATGATTGAACAATTGACTACCTTTCCTTTTTGCTGGAAAAAAAAAATACACACACACATCACAGGAATCACAGGAATAATTAGGCTATATTTTTTTTATACCATCACAGGAATAATTAGGCTATATTTTGAATATATATTTTAACCAAAAATTGTTCATTTAAATTGTAATAACATTTTAATATTTAATAAGAGAGAGAGAGACTTAGAAATGTTAGTTCTGAGAATGGTCTTACACCATTTGTTTGCAGACTTGTTTTTAATAACTGTTTTTTCAAATTTTGTATTAAAAATAAAACGAACAACTGACAAGAAAGGATATTGTAAGAAAGACCAAGAGACCAGCTACAACACAGAGCAGCAGATCTTTGGCTGCAATGAGAAGTCCAGATTTCAGTCTTTCCAATTCTTCACAGAATTGGTTTTCTCTGAGAAAAAGAAAACCAGTTCTGACAAAGGACAAAATATGACACATATAAGACAAAACTAAAGCTGGTCTTTTGGCCTAACTATGATCATGAATACTAGTATGTGAGAAATATAGCAGTCATAGCCTATCACCCTGTAGCCCAAGACTGATTGCCCACTGAAGCTAAGCAGGGCTGAGTTGGTCAGTACCTGCGGGAGACCTCTTCAGAAAACCAGGTTGCTGCTGGAAGTGAGGTGGTTAGTGAGGCCAGTAGGGGGCGCTCACCCTGTGGTCTGTGGGTCCTATCGCCCCAGTAAAGTGACGGGGATACTGTCAAAGAGCACTGTTCTTCGGATGAGACGTTAAACCGTGGTTTTGACTCTCCATGGTCATTAAAAATCCTTGGAGGATGTTCTTCAAAAAAAGAGTAGGGGTGTAACCTCGGCATCCTGGCCAAATTTGCCCGTTGGCCTCTGTCCATTATGGCCTCCTAATCATTCCTATATAGGCTACTAATTGGGTTTATCACTCTGTCTCCTCTCCACCAATAATATGGCTGCTGTCGCATCATCCAGGTGGATGTTGTTGAGGAGATTCGCTTTAAGGTCCCAGAAAAAGCTCAATATAAATGTAATAAATTATTAAATATAATTTTAACATTAAATGCATATTTATGTAAAGGCAATATGCCTTTTTGCATGTGCCTTTTTGAAGAATCATTGAGTGTAAATGACATGTTATGGAAAATTTTGAGTCAAAGAGGAACTTTTGACAATGATCTATAATCATTTCCTATCAATGTCCTGTTGCAAGAGCAAAGGAAGAACTCTTAATGTCTCAAGCCATCACAAAGAATGTAGGAGTAGAGTCCACACAGATGTGAAGCATCAGTCCTTGCATTGCTTATAAGCTCTTAATCCTAAATCAGCCTTTGTGGGTCTAGACAAATAGAAGATTCTGGTACAAACTTCTTATCAAAATCAATAACCCTAATCTTCCCATGACAGTTGCTTACAAAAGAAAAAAAGAGAACAATGTGTGTGTTTCTGCTGATTGGGGATAATGTACAAATGCTGTGCATCCCAAGAAAGACATACGTGCAACAGGTTGGATAGGGATTCTGGGGGACCATATGAGGCTAAGTTGGACTTGTCCTGAGAAGACCAGTCAGATTAAAGCACAGGCATCTGCTCTGTATGGGACAGTAACTTGTTTTTGTGTCCATCAAGACCACATCATATATGCCATAGAGAATACTCCACCTTCATGCTCACCGAATACTTCTAATTTCACTGTCAATATCTCAGTAAATTTCTGAGAAAATACGCAATTTTCATGAATGACTAAGACTATATGCTATAGGCTAGAATAGATGAACAGCCATTGATGTAATTGAAATGACAGCATGTGTCATAAGGTGCAGTGGACTGAACTCCTTCACTCCTGTTTAAATGCCACAGTGTTGGCTTTCATTAACACATGCTGGACAGCCAAAAGCCTTCCAAAAGGGCAGAAATAGAACACACCATGGGAACTCGATAGGATGCAAAAAAGATTTAAAGCTCAAATAAAATCGAATACAGCAGTTCCCAGAGTTGGTAATATTGTACGGTACAGCTCTATAAATTCTGTTTTAAACTGCTTTAGTACTAATGGTTCTACAATAAAACATATGCTCTCAAGAAACTTCTGGCTGAACATTTTTTTTCTTTCTTTCTAAAAACAAAGCAGACTGTAGATCAATGTTAAGTTTGTATAGAGTTTCTGACTTAGGATTCCTTTTTTTCTTTAATTTTATTTGCTAATGTCAATTATATTTGCCAATGTTTAAACTATAGTTTTAAAAAAATGTCCCCAGAAGCTACTGTGGCATTTTAGAAGTAGGCTACATCACCACACTACCTTAATGATTACAAACTCAAAGGAAGTCCACAAATGGAAAAAAAATAACATGAATAATTTTTTGTAATGGTTTTAAAAAACGTTTTTAACAGAATAAATCGCATAGAAAGGAATGACACGAGTTAAATCACACCACGTTTTTCAATATTGCAATGTCAACGAAGTAATGTATTCATTTCCTATTAACGCCATCTAGAGGCATCGTGAAGCCATAACATTACAGAGTTCTGTACGGAACTAATAAGTGATTTTTGTTTCTCACGGACTTTTTTATTTCACTGGACCTCAATCTTGACAGCAACCTGCAAGTAACCATGCAAGTAACATTTGAATTCAGTAGCGTTGATGTTTATATTTGTGGCGGTAATGCGCACTTAAAAGTTGTTTGCCAACCGCCATTAAAAGACAAAAGAAGAAGATGTTTATATTATAGTCATCCTTTAAAAGAGCTGCGGGCGAAATCCATTTAAATTAATAAAGGCTATTAGTCTCTTATGAATTTATAGAAGTTAAATAATAACCATCGGAATGTAGCAGTAACAGACATGTAACGTTAACGTTAGTTTCAAAGTTATACTTATTGATATAAGCTTTGTTGTGTTTACCCAGTAAACAATGATAGGAGTGGAGGCTGGACTCTACATCGGATCTTTGTCTGATGTGAAGGATCCTCAGAGCCTGACAGACGCCGGTGTAACACACATACTCAGCATCGACTCAGAGGAACCTGCAGTGTCTGGATTCCACACGAAATTTGTCCGAGCTCTGGATGATGCGTCCACAGATCTCCTGAGCAGACTGGATGACTGTGTCAGCTTTATATGTGATGCTCTCAGCACACAAGATGAGTCCAAATCACCAGCAGTTCTTGTGCATTGGTAGGTTAAGTTTAATAATTTATACAAACTTTAATGATTCAGATGCAGTATATAATACATAACAGTGCATTAGTTAGTGATATTCACAAATGTAATAAATTGTTGACGTTAATAAAGTTAAATGTGTTATATTATATACACTCATCTAAAGTATTATTAGGAGGAACACCCGTTTAAGTTTTCATTAATTAAAGGAAACTGGAATTCAACTTTTTTTCCTTAATTTTTTTGATTTGTTTGTTTGTCTGTTTGCAGCCATGTTGGACAAAGTAGAAGTGCGGCAGTGGTGACTGCTTACCTGATGAAAACACAACACCTGAATCTACATGATGCATATTCTAAACTCCAAAACTTGAAACCAGACGTTAAGTGGGTGTTTTTCATTATTTATCCTGTGATGACTCGTTTGTTAAGAGCATTATTTTTGAAGAGCGTTCCACTCATTTTCTCAGAATGAATGAAGAATTTCTGGACCAGCTGGCAATCTATGAATTAATGGACTGTAAAGTAGATACCACAAATCCCTTATACAAACAGTTTAGATTGAAGAAAATTACAGAGAAATATCCAGGTATGGACATACTTAAACTTGCTAATTGGTCTATATATATATTAAATACAGTAATGAAAGACACTTACCAGGGCCTATATTAAAGTCATATTTTGATAAATTCAGAGCTCCAAAATGTGCCAAAAGAAGTCTTCGCTGTTGACCCTGCACAAACCCAGAATGCAGAAGCTGTATACAGATGTAGAAAGTGCAGGTAAATTTGTATTTCTTTTTATACGCAACATATTTTGTTGATCCTGGAACAACATTCCTGTCTGAAAATGTAGTCTTAACCCTAAACCTATCCCTAATACCAGAGGGAAATGATAGGTCAATAACACTGATGTAGAAGCACCTAACCCTGGTTATAAGCCTAAACTTGACATAAACTGTAGACCTCAAATCTAATCGGCTGATTGGAATGTTGTTCCAGGATCAACAAAGTTGTACTTTTGTGAAAGCACGTTCACCAACTAAAGTGTCGTAAGATGCTGTTTTCTTCCGTTCCCAACAGACGCACACTTTTCCGTCACTCCAGCATTCTCAGTCACTGTGTGGGAGAAGGAGCCTCTTCGTTCTCTCATAAGAAGACGAGGATAGTGAGCATTACAGCTGAAGATCAGAGACAGTGCACTTCCTTCTTTATAGAGCCAGTGCAATGGATGGAGCAGGCCTTACTTGGTGTTATGGATGGACAGGTAGTAGCTGACTGCTTCACACATCTGGACACACAATTAAATAGAATGATCAAAACGTTGTTCCTGTATGTCCATTTACATTTTTACAAGTATGTTTTTTTTTAACTATTGGCTAGAGATTGTAGTGGCTATGCCATTTTGTTTCTTTGTTGGTGTTTTTTTAATATATTTCAAAGTAAAAGCTTTTGTAATATCTCTCTTGTAGCTATTGTGTCCCAAGTGCAGCTCAAAGCTGGGCTCGTTCAACTGGTACGGTGAACAGTGTTCGTGTGGGCGCTGGGTGACACCGGCCTTCCAGATGCACAAGAACCGAGTGGATGAAATCAAACACATCAGTATATCTGCACTCAAATGACCAACAAATAAACATATGTATTGTATGCTCTGAAGTTTTTGTCATTGTTAGTGTTTTAAATTGCAATAAACATAAAAAACATTTCATATATCAGAAATAACATGTAAAAAGCACTGTGGTTTACTTTTATTCTAACTTTGATTCTAACTAAGTTTTATTTTATCTGCCTTACCATTCAAAAGTTTGGGGCCTTAAAAGCTATGCTCACCAGTGCTGCATATTTGATCAACAGCAAACTTACTCTAAAATAACTCAACAGTGTAATTAGATTACTGTACTAATTACTCTCTCTAAAAAGTATTTAATTACTTTCTAAATCCCATATCAACCTCAAAAGGATAGAGGATAGACATGAATAAATAAATACTATAAAATTGCATGAATTATTCTTAAACTGACCAAACAATTTAAAGGCAGAAGGTTACATAATACTCATACTTTTTAACATCATAATATACAATTTGGTGTTAAACGCACTATAGTTTTATATATAATTGTTCTAGTTAATACCAGTGGTTCTAAACTCCAGTCCTCTGGACTGCAGTGGGCTGTGCACATTTTGTGTGTCTCCCTTATTTAACACACCTGATTCAAATCATCAGCTCATTTGGACTGGAGAGACTCCATGAACAGAACGTATCAGATAAGAGGCATAAAAAAATGTATTAGTAATTAGTAAATGTACTTAGTAATTAGTTACTCCCAACACTGATCAACAGTAATAATAAAATATTGTGAAATTCAATTTTAAAATAATTGCTTTCTATTTTAATTTATGCTAAAATGTAAAAAAAAAAAAAAAAAAAATCATGTGATGGTAAAGCTGAATTTTCAGCATTCTTTATCCAGGCTTTAGTCTCAAGTATCATTATTATCATTTGTCTAGGATTCTTTGATTGATATGAAGTTCAAAACAGCTGCATTTATTAGAAATTATAAATGCCTTTACTGTCACTTTTGACCAGTTTAATGCATCCTTGCTAAATTAAAGTACAAATTTCTTTAAAAATGCATATATATATTTGTATGAACTTGTATTGCAAAGTTGTATCCAGTAGGTGGCGACAAATAACTAGTACTGTGCCATTGCATTGGACTGTATTCTGCATGCTATTCAAAGTAGTGGAGACTAAGGAGTTCTTTACACCTGCACTATAGATGACAGATGATCATCATTTGTCAAAGTGAGACACTTTGACTTCGTTGAGAAGTACTAAATGTATGAGGATGATATAACAAACTTGGCTCCTGACTTGCTAAATCTGCTTCTAACAAAATGAGAAAAAAAAAATCTATAAATTGATCCATAAATTGTAAATTGTCATCTTATACTTTGTATTTGTATGATATGTAGCACTAATTCAGATTCATGGGCATATAGTTTCCTCTTGACCCCCAGCACATGGTTGTATGATGTTGATTGAGAGAGTCTGCATTTCACTGTGGGTGGTTATGGCATTGAGTTGTGAAATCCTGTTGTGTTTATGAGGGTCATATCCTCTATGTAATGACCTGAACTCTTTCTGTGAAGTGTGAAGAGTCACCTGCTGTGTATTTGCACAACATAGATGACATCAGTTGAGAGAGGAGCAGGGTTTCAGGAATAGAGGAGCTAAGAAGTAAACTTAATGTAGGCTATCTCCTCAAAATGATACTCACTAACATGATATATGCTGTTGTTTTTGCGTTTTCAGGAACATTAAATATCAATGTAATGCTAAAGAAAACGTTTGGCTGGAGTAGGCTATATATGGTACACAGATCACATATAAAGGAGAAACCAGGAAAGTGTGCTTGGTCAACCCAATCCTGATGTTGCAGACTTGCTGTCATGGTCTTGGTTAGAGCTGAGATGGAGGTGTGGAAAAGCTAGACATCTGATTGGTTCAGAGACCCACTTAAGCTGTGTGGAACAGTCTTGACCTTTTCAATAGTAGCAATTTGGCCTTAAATACACAGTTTTTGTTTATTCTTTCCTTTCAAGAGTAGTTAGTGTAAATAACTGTTTTTACAGCAATGCCATACATCTGGAAATGAGAAAAGATGCTGTTTTTACATATGGAATAACAGGCTGTGTTGCCTAAACTGTGAAATTGCTATCAGTTGGGTGTGTAAGACTGAACAGAAAAAGTGTTGTTTGCCTTTTATTACTTTGTGTATCAGTGGTGAGACTCTTTTTAAACAGGTTTAAAATCAATAGATCAGTAAACAATAGTTGTTGTTTTTTTAGATGTCAGCATTTTCAAAGTAATCACAGACAAAATGTTCATTTACCTTGTCTTGCAAATGCAATGACTTAAAATAAAATGCTATGATACCAATATTGTAACATATGTTAAATAATTAACATGCAAGACAAGTATTTATTCTTCTCAGATTAGATGAGTCTGTGTAGCAACACAAACAAGCAGTAGACAGTTTCCCTGCTATTTCCTGCCGATCTATGTAGTGAATGCATTTGTGTAACAGCAGTAGCAAAGCACAGATGTGTATGGATCAGATGTTGAGCACATGGATGGACTTTCTTTCCGAGATCTAGATGGTTTTACATCAGTTTTTGGTTTTTTTTTTTTTTTTTTTGAATTCTGTCATCATTTACTTACATTCAAGTTGTTCTAAACCTGTATGAGTTTATTTCTTCACTAGGCTATAACACACACACACACACACACACACACACACACACACACACACACACACACACACACACACACACACACACACACACACACACACACACACACACACACACACACACACAATTTCAAGAATGTTGGTAACCAAACAGTTTCTATTTCCCATTGACTAGTATGATGTTTATACTTTGGAAGTCAGTGGGGACCAGAAAATGTTTGGTTACCAACATTCTTCAAAATATCATCACCAAAAACTCTTAAGGGTGTATAAATTACTGAATTTTCATTTTTGGTTTAATTATTCCTTTGAGCCAATATTGCACTCTGAATTAGCAGTTTAAAGCTACACTCTGTTTTTACCCCCATCTAGTGGTGAAAAGCAAATAGTTTCCGATTTCGTTTTAACTCCTGCGGTGGCCAATGTAGTCCAAGATTATCATGTCTTCCAGTTCGACCTCGCCCATGAGTGTTAAAGGGGTGATGAACTGAGAAATCAAATTTTCCTTGAGCTTTTGACATCTAAGAGGTCATCATATTATAAGAATATCCTGTAAGTTTCAGAAGTGAAAACGTCCTTGTTAGTCCAATAAAAGCTTTTATTGACACAGCCTCTAAAAACGACTCGTTTTTAAAAGTGGGGAACTATGACTACAAAGAGGATAAAACACCACCCCCACAGAAGATGATCAACGCCTGCTTCACCACGGCAGGTTTAGCCCCGCCCACCGATTCGCGCATTACACACATAAGTATCATACATGTACATGCTTACCTCGTGATGACAAACTGGATCGCTACCGAGCAATACAGAATATTGTGCAGTGCCTGGTTGTGCAAGACAGTCGCTGCATAAGCTTCCTCTGGATTCCAATAGGACTGCATGGATAAAATTTATTTTTAAAGTCCCTGTGAAATCAAAATTGAACCTATTTACTTTGTTAGCGTATATTACTAGTCTTGTGGTGAACAATTAATCCGTGCAAGTGAATATATATTAAAAAAATGTTTTACCTTAGTAATCTTTAATCAAAATCTGAAAAGTTACTTCCGGTCTGGAACGGTTTCTTTTTCTGATGACGCAGGTTTCACAGTTTGGGTGGGGAAACGCTTAACCACTCCCCTCAAACCGTTAGTTTGCTATGGGCGAGAGATGGAGAGGAGGAGCGCTAGAGTAAAACCCTGCCCTCTGTTCAATATTCCGTTTCACTTGGAAATACGTCACAGCACTGGAGAAAAATCGTTTGCAACTTCCGGTTCACGGGGACTTTAATGACGTTCCAGCTGATGAGGTAAAACATCGTCGTCTGTTCGCTTCATTTCACTGAGGATTGTTTTGTCAACAAGACTGGATTTGCAGACCGATTAAGAGTAAAGAACGGTGCTGTGCCGTCTATATTGGATCTGACAGGAATATTGTGCAACACACAGACTCTGGGTTGAACATGTATGGGCGAATCCGGTTGCCATTTGACAACATAGGACGTTTTCCCCCACGTACACCGACGGGTGAGTTAAACTCATTATAATATGCAAAACTGTTCTCCACTCGCAGCAGTGGGTGTTTACTTCCAAGTCTTCAGTGCGACACGCCCATAAAAACCGACTGTTTTCACAACCAGGGTACAAAATAGCCTATTACTTGTTCATTTTGATGTTGTTGAATGCAAAAACCAAGCGAACGTTATAAGTTGACCTCAGACAACAATATAATAACATTTAAAAAGCCAGTTCATGACCCCTTTAACTCAAACTTAAACGCGAAAGGCGAAGCTTGAATTAACGGGTATGTCCCTCTTTGGCTAATGTACTTTCAAGATGGAGGGGCAACATGGCGACCTACATTAGAACCCCTTGGTATGTATTTTCAATGGCATATTATACACTCACGAGAATACTTTATTACTTGAACGAAGTAAAAATACATTAATGAGCACATATATTTTTGAAAGAAGTAAGTGTTTTTAGCCAAGAATAAACTAAAACAGCTTTACACAGCTTTAACATGTTACATGTTATGCTGTTGATTGTCTAATCCGATTATCCAACTGAACTAGAGAAGAGATCTGATTCTCAAATATGTCTAGCAGAGTAAATATTGCTCATGTGTCTCGAGCCTGCTCTCCTTTGAGGTCTGAATCAAAAACATGGCATGTCTATGATTGACACGTCTTAACTGAAACAACCTTGGACTAGTTTTAATTGATTTCAGGGGGATTGACCTCTTCATGCCACGTCTCCAAATGATCCCTTTAAGATGTGTCACTAACTCTTTCATCCCAAAACACATACTGTAAGTGGCCACATAGCAGCTGCAGAAAATTGAATCAAAGCACATATTTTACAAATGATCCATTGCCTCTATCTTTAGCAGGATCTGCAACGAGAAGCTTCTTTTTAA